TATAAACATTGGGGTACAAGTGCCCCTATGCATCAGTACTCCTGTATCCCTTGGGTAAATTCTTATCAGTGCTACTGCTGGGTCATAGAGTAGTTCTATTTTTAATTTTTTGAGGAACCTCCACACTGTTTTCCAGAGTGGCTGCACCAGTTTGCATTCCTACCAACAGTGCAAGAGGGTTCCCGTTTCTCCACATCCTCTCCAGCATCTATAGTCTCCTGATTTGTTCATTTTGGCCACTCTGACTGGCATGAGGTGGTATCTGAGTATGGTTTTGATTTGTATTTCCCTGATGAGGAGTGATGGTGAGTATCTTTTCATGTGCCTGTTGGCCATCTGGATGTCTTCATTAGAGAAGTATCTATTCTACAATGAATTTTTAACTTTAACAAAATCCCTTCTGTGACTCTGGTTTTCATTTGACTATTCTAATTACAGATTCACCTCTTTATTCTCTTTATTTAGTTTTTACTGTACCATTGAAAAAAGAAAACTCATGGGATCGTAAACTGTAATTCAAACCATTTTTACTGTAGGTTTTTCCCAAGAAATGATCATTTGAACCAAGATCCCGTATCCACTCTTTGAAGAAGCTTGACAAAAACTGAAAAAGCATCTTTTCCAGTCATCTCATTTTATACCTGGAGAAACTGAGGTCTACAGAGTTTAAGTTACTTCTCTGGATGATAGCACAGTAGTGGTAACGTCAGGATAGGAGAGCTGTTCTTTATTCTCCAGAATAGAGCACACCTCGTCTAACATTTATTCACTCCGCCATTTGGTTAGCAAACACCATATGTCCCCCAACTCTGAGACAATGCTATCACGTGTTTGAAAGCTTCCCTTTGACCTTTGCAACCTCTGGCTTGGAGAAATGGCAGTAGTTTAAAATTGCTTTGACAAATCAAAAGATTTCTCACTAGCTGAAGCCATAATACACCTTGCAGATGGATGGCTTAACTTCGTTAAACTTCAAAGTGTTTATTTTGGGTGAGAATGGTAATTCAAATTGGCAGGACTGCCAGTTCACACACATGAACTGCTGTCTTGCAGTTTGGTATTATCCAGACTCTGCTTGCTTTTGAAATGGGACTTATCAGGATTTTCTGGCAGTTGATACCTTTGTTGACAGAAAGTGCATGGAACCCCACTGCTTCAGTCATTTGCTCCTGCATATCAAAAATAGTTCCTACCTTACTTAACCACCCAGAAATATGAACGATAAGGGTGGATTATTTTATAGCGCTATATCCATGAATAGAAGTCACTAGTCAGAAAGGAATTTGCTATCGCACCACTATGAAAAGAAGCAGTAATTACTAAAATGATATATCTATTTTAAAGTACTAAAATAGTTTTTTCAATAGCTAGTATTTAAGCTTGTGGGAATCAGAGAATTAAACCGTGATGAAATTAGGCAGAATGGAAGCTTTTACAATGTATCTCCTGAATCCTAAGAAATATTTCTTTGTAACTATTCCTTACATGTAGCCCAATGGAAGTTTAATATGAAAAAAATCCCAAAGTTATAAATGGAACAATATCAAGTATCAATATGTCAAAACAAAAATCCTATTGAAAAGTAAAAGAGAATGAGCAAACACACGACTCATTAAAAATTGATTATCAGAGTTACCAATGAATATATTAGAAATGCTTAGTGTCTATGGCATTAATTAAATGATGCATTTACTTTCTCTGGTATAATCTAGCCAAAGTCTTAGTAAGTAAGTGGGCAACTTCCAGGAAGCTGAAACCTCATGCTGTTGGTACACTGAAATTTAAAAACCAGGTCCTTAGGGGCACCTGAGTGGCTCAGTCGGTTAAGCGTCTGACTTCGGCTCAGGTCATGATCTCATGGTTTGTGAGATCCAGCCCCACATCAGGCTCTGTGCTGTCAGCTCAGAGCCTGGAGCCTGCTTTGGATTCTGTGTCTCCCTCTCTCTGCCCCTCCCTCACTCACGCTGTGTCTCTGTCTCACAAAGACAAATAAATGTTAAAAAATTTTAAAAGAAAAAAAAACAAAAAAAATAAAGACCAGGTCCTTGGAGTGGGGGTTGGAGGCAGGTGGCTGGGGCCTCAGAAGAAGGAATATAAACTCATTGCACCAAGGCAGGGAATATAAACACATTGACCAAGGCAGGACTGTTTTGGAGCTCTTCACCTTCACTGAGTCAGACTGGGAGGAAACCAGTTTGATCAGTTGCTTGTGATCTTAATACACAAGAAGGTATTGGGGCGCCTGGGTGGCTCAGTCGGTTAAGCGTCCAACTTCGGCTCAGGTCATGATCTTGCGGTCTGTGAGTTCGAGCCCTGCGTCGGGCTCTGTGCTGACAGCTCGGAGCCTGGAGCCTGCTTCGGATTCTGTGTCTTCCTCTCTCTCTGACCCTCCCCCGTTCATGCTCTGTC